GGGGGGGGGGGGGGGGCTAATACTAAAATGTGTTTGATCTGAAACATATAAGTCTGACAAATATGCAAAAACATAAATCAAGAAACCGTTTTTCACCGTCTAAGAAACGATTTAGACCTAAAACAAACAAATTGATTACTGAGGTTTCCTCACATCCCCATAATTAACAAAAACAGGCTTAAACTTAAATGCAAGAGGATGCTGATGCTATGAGAGTAGCATCGACCAGTCTTCATCTTTCACACTACGCAAATTACTGCTAAACACTTGAAACAGCTGCTACACGACCAAGGCGCGGAAACAACATATGTTTACTTCGACCGGCCTGGGTGGGGCAGATTCCCACGATTTACTCGTGTCCTCTTGTCTGACCGAAGATGGAAACACCAGCCGCTGGTCGTCCCGTGCCAAAGGATGTAGCTGCGAGTTAGTCATGAAACAAGCATCTGCTTCCTCTACGCCAAGAAACCGGTTCTCCGTGAACATGCACTAAGAGCTTGCAATTGAGAATATTCGCTATGTTTAAAAGCAAGAGGCTATTAATCAGATAAAACACATATTGACAGTAGTCAAAGACCACAGTGGAGTAACGTGGAAATATGACACAACTAGAGACAGCTAGCAGCACCAGGTTTAATCTTACGCTGATGCAAATAGCGAAACGGACTTTCGCTAGCTAGATAGCTTCTTAGCTTTGCAATTTCACCTTCCTACATAGCCTTAACCGAACGGACGCCAACAGTCTAACCGATTAACTAACTAACGGGGCTTGAACACTGTTGTAACAAGAGCCGGATCCTATCAGGCAAGCTAATTAGCCGGACAGCCATCATTAGCCTACCTACATACTCACCCTATGGCTTTATCCCAAAGATGGCACTCGGTGGCTGCTCGCAAACGTTAGCCTTGCACGTCCAAATGGAGCTGTCTCTCTTAAAAGCAACGGTTGCTAATTACGAAACAACAGCCAAGGATACCAACAGCGGCGGCAGCAGCAGTTTCCCTTCCTCCCACCAGTTCCTCCACCCGTTTCTCCTCCCGAGGTCGGGTGTCAAACGCGCGCCGAAACCGCCAAGGCACGAGGACACCCTCTAGCTTAGCAACGAGGCAATACAACCTCACTAAGAACCTTATTTTTTATTATATGGCTAGTTTGGGCCAGTTGTTTCTAACAGGGCGTGTGAGTTAAACATTAAACCCTGAAATTAAAAAAATGTAAATTAATTAATTAATTTAAAAAAAGAAAAATCAGTGAGTGAAAACACTTCCGGTCGTACCGTTCTTGCCTTCCGCTTTTCTTCCGGATGTGCACATTATTGTGGCTGTTTGGAGCGGTGTGTCCGCTCCAGCCAGTTGCAGTGCTACAAAATGAAGGTCGTTACTTGGAACATAAACGGCATTAGGGCCTTCAGAGGCGGCATAAAAAAGGCTCTTGATTCCCTGGACGCAGATGTTATTTGTATTCAGGAGACAAAAGTGACGCGTAAGTGATTAGCAATAGCTGGTTTGAACACGCGGGAGCTGTCATCGTGCAAGGCGCCACAGTTAGAATGAAACTGTATGAAAATAAAAACGTTAACCCCTACTTTCTCCTCCACAGGAGACTTGCTAGATGAAAGGATTGCTATTGTTGACGGATACAACTCCTATTTCAGCTACAGCCGAGGGCGCAGTGGCTACTCAGGTTCAATACGAAGTTATATAACAGTTCATTTTGCGTCTGTGAGCCTTGAAAGTGTTTGTTTTTTTTCGTGTATTATCATCCAGTTATATTAAGTGCCAACATTCAAGAAAGTGCAGTCTTCTAAAATATAATGCCACATTTATACTTTACTGAAAAATCTCCTCGTAAAACTGCATTACACCCAATTCACCTCACATTGCCGCTGTGCACAGGTGTTGCCACCTACTGTAAGGACAGGGCCACTCCATTTGCTGCTGAGGAGGGCCTCACAGGTCTGCTGGTCAACCACAAAGATGCTGTTGGATGCTATGGTGACCATACTGAGTTTTCAAGTGAGGAGTTGCAGCTGTTGGACAATGAAGGCCGTGCTGTAATCACACAACACAAAATAAAGTGAGAGGAGATATCATATGTTAAGGCTCCTGTTTTAAGTGTGCTGCATGGCATATTTATCTGTTTACATGTGGCACTTGAAAACAAATAATCAGCAATTTTTATGTTTCTCTCCTCAAAATTCTCAATTCTTCTCAGTTAGTGGGGGAATCCCACTTTGTGCTTGCCTTTTATTGACTGAGTTTTATTTTATCCCAACAGATGTCAGGATAAAGAGAAAACCCTTACTGTTATTAACGTATACTGTCCGAGGGCTGACCCAGAAAAGCCAGAGCGAAAGCGGTTCAAACTACAGTTCTACAACTTACTTCAGAGTCGAGCTGAAGCTGTGCTTAAAGATGGAAGGTGAGAAATTCATAATGTTTCACTGGCTGAGCAAAACATTGTCGTTACAAGAGATGCAGGTGTATCCTGGTTTCGCTACAGATGTTTTTCTAAGGCACTGTGCTAATTTTGAACAACGCAGCTCTTCCAGTAAATCATTACGTCTTTGAGTTTTGGCAGTGGGCCACATGTTTTGCTGTATGTAAAATGAGGCTAAACACTATCTGGTGTTTACAATTTTATTGAATTGTAAGTTAGTACAAATAAAACAGTATATTAGAAAATAGCTGCTTCTGTGTTCATGGTTACATAGCTTTAATTTAATAACATTTATATATATTCTGATAAAATCTCAATTCTTGGACAGCAATGATGATGATGAGAAATATTTTATTTATCACACATTTGAGAAATTATTTAAAATTGTTCTTTAAATTCTACAAATGTATGTAGATAATGAGTTAAGCTTTTTTATGTTCTGTTTTCCAGCCATGTGATTGTTTTAGGAGACATAAATACATCTCATAGACCAATAGATCACTGTGACCCTAGTGAAATTGTAAGTAAAATACCAATATAACATATATGTGTATGTGTATATATATGTGTGTATATATATATGTGTGTGTGTATATATATATGTGTGTGTGTATATATATATATGTGTGTATGTATATATATACACACATATAATATGTGTGTATGTATATATATACACACATATAATATGTGTGTATGTATATATGAGCGACACCGCACACTCTACATGCATGTATATAGTAGTATATAGACTTTTTAAATATCTAGAATCCTGTGAAAACTAAGAACAGCCTTACTGCTTCCATAGGATTTAAGAGGGGAAATAGCAGCCAGCTTCTTGAACAATGATTAATCAGAAGGTTCGTCCTGCTCTATCAAAGCACATGTTGTGGAAAATTGTTTCGTCTGGGGCCTTCAGGTGTTTACACAATGGCTCAGGTTTCCCAGGAATGGCCATTCCAGTAAATTCAATCACTTGTAAAGCTCAAAGAATTTGTAAAAACCCATGAGCGACACTCTACAGGCTTTAGTTGGGTTGTTAAAATTCTTGACAATAGAATTAGAAGAAGACTGAACAAGTGTGTCTTTTTTGGAAGAGTTTACAAGAGAAATCCTATTCTCTCTCTAAAAAAACCAACTTAACAGCACAACATGGGTTTATGTAATAGTTCTGAACAAAGTATAAGGCTTCTGAAACGTGTCCTTCAGCACCATATGTGGAGAAAACCAAATACAGCATATCAGCAAAAACACCTCACGCCAGCTGTCATCAGTGTGGTGGTGGAGGGGTGATGATTTGGGCTTTTTAGCAGCCATAGAATCTGTGCACCTGTCATTGAGTTGCCATGAACTCCCCTCTATACCAGTGTATGCCAGAGTCAAATGCAAGGCCACACATCTGACAGCGAAAGCTTGGCAGAAATTGGGGCATGTAACAGGGCTGTGATCCCAAGCATAGCAACAAATTTACAACATAATGGCTGAAAAAGAAAGAAGATTGAGCCATTTCAGTGGCCCAAAGTCCAGATCTCAACCTAATTTAATTGCTGTGGTGTGATTTTTAACACAGCTCTACATGAATGAATCCTCACAAACCTCAATGAATTAAAGCAATACTATAAATATGAGTGGGCCAAAATTCCTCTACAGCAATGTGAGAGACTAATAAAGCCATATATGAAAGGATTATTTCAAGTTACTGCTGCCAAAGGTGGTTCTGTTGCTATTATTTCATGGGGTTTACATTTTCATTACTGTATTAAATTACACAAAAACAGGAAGTGGGGAAACCCCTCCCCCAAACCTTATATGCTACATGAAAAATGACTTCTACCTACAGCTTCCTATTTAATGAACAGACACAGGAGTGGAATCTGTCTCAGCAAGAAAGCAATGATCAACAAGTGACCTTAATGTAGAGGATTGAAATAATATTACATAAAATGACAGATGTTCCTACATTATTATCCATAATAATGAAACTTTCATTATTTAGGATGATTTTGGCGAAAACCCTGGGAGGAAATGGCTGAATGGCTTTTTGTACAGTGACAAACAGGAAGAAGGGAGCGATGAGGAGGAACATGACAAAGAATGCGAAGAAACAGATCCACTCCACGGTGGGAAATTTGTGGATACCTTTCGCTTTTTCCACCCAACTCGCATCAACGCCTTTACATGCTGGTCTACTCTCACTGGAGCTCGGCAGACCAACTATGGAACACGCATTGACTACATATTTGCTGACTGCCAGCTTGCCAAGGAGCAGTTCGTGGGAGCCGACATCATGCCAGAGGTGGAGGGTTCAGACCACTGCCCTGTCTGGGGGCAGCTGAGCTGTTCACTCATTTCTAGCCCAAAGCCTCCCCCCTTCTGTACTCGCTACCTGCCAGAGTTTGCAGGTAAACAGCAGAAACTCTCACGCTTCCTCGTTAAGGTGGACCAAAAATCAGCCCAATCTGAGCAGAAAAATACATTGCCTGGTTCTCAAGAAGAGGAGGAAAGGAGAGAAAATTTAAATCCTTCTGGAGCTGCAAACATCTCTGTTAAAAAACGTTCATTGACATCTGACTTGGTTGCCCCAAAGGGAAAAAAGACTAAGACGGTAAATGCTTCTTCAAAGCCTAAGGGCAACCTCCTTGCCTTTTTTAAAACCAAAAACGTTAACCAGTGTGAAAAACCACTAAATCTGGATGAAGCTGCCAAACCACCCATAACTGAAGAAGTGTTCTCTGTCGCAGACACCAAATCTGAAGGTCCTGAGCTTATCTCTGACGGTTCATCACAGCAGTGCTCCACAGCTGATACTGACCAACATATGAACACAGAACATTCAATCCCTCAGCCCACTGTAACGCAGTCAGATGCAAAGAAAGGGACATCGTCAGTGTTTTGGAAGTCGGTGCTTCGTGGACCACCTGCCCCACCGTGCTGCAAGGTCCACGAAGAACCATGTGTTCTTCGTACTGTAAAAAAGGAGGGGCCAAACATGGGCAAACAGTTTTTTGTGTGTGCACGTCCTCAGGGACATGCGTCCAACCCTGAGGCTCGATGCAATTTCTTTGCATGGGTTGACAAAGCAAAGTGACATGTTTACATTAAGGTCCATCCTTCAGCAACAATTGTTTTAACATTTGTCATAGTTGTATGTTGTAGTTGTTGTATTTTTCTTTTTCATATCAAAATAATAAAACACAGTAGTTTTATATTACTTTGAATTTGGTTCCATTTGTTCTAAACGCTGAAATAAGTGAGCAGATTAGATTTGTTGATTAAAGGTTCTGCTTATTCACATTCACTTGGTTAGTGAAACATTTGGGGTAATTTGATGTTTTCTTCCTTTTAGGCTGGGTCTTTTGCCTCCATCTCACCCTATTCCTAACAAGCTCTTCTAACACCACAGTCCTATGTCTCTCTTGCTATCTCTGAACACTCCTTCCCCCACTGTTCCTCTTGGCCATTGGCACCCGCTGGTCAACAGCACTGTTATGGTAATGTTGTGGAAGTCTTATTGATGATCCACATCTTGGGTATGGCAAAACTCTTACGCTGGATGCCCTTCCTGACGCAGCCCTTCCCACTTATCCAGGCTTGGGACTGGCACAATGGGTGTGCTTACTCTGGCTTATGGCTTCTCATGGCTGGGTTTGTTGCTTTTTTTAAGCTTCAGCTTCAACAATTTCAGGATTATTAACTTTCCTTCTTTATATATTATTACAAAAATAGTTCTACTAATGCTTTTTGTTTTGTTTTTTTGTTTTTTACAGTTTGTTGCACCAAACAAACTATTAGAGCACATTACCTTTGGGCTAAAGGACCTTTTACCTTTTTTGTATTAATTAATGAAAGATGATAGTCGTAGTCCGACAGGCCTGTGTATAAACACCATTTTAGTTTCTGTGTCACATAATATGTATGCGTTTTAAGATGTTAGTTATAATTTTTTGTGCACTTAGGTTGGTGGTTAGCACTGTTACCTCACAGCAAGAAGGTCCTGGATTCAAATTTCTTCTGTATGAAGTTTGCATGTTCTCCAGATCTCTTTACTTTCCCCTGACTCTTGACTCTCCTAACATTAAAAAATATGTTTTTACCCACTAGATGGCAACAGTAGTGAGTAGATGCATTGCTGAAATGAAATGTAACTTTCCACAGAAGCACGTGTTATTCACACTACCAGCTGCATGACCGTATTACAACAACTGTTATGCAGGCCAGGAAGTGGAGTATTTAAATTGGTATCAGATGTGTTTTTACCAATCAGTTTTAGGGTTCACAGTAGAAATATTACTTCAATGTGGCAAACCATTCCGTAGGTTTTTAAAAAAAAAAGAAAAAAAAGAAGTAGAACAGAAAGTATCAATGTCCAAATGCTCCATAAAGTAACAGCACATACCCTGATCAGTGTGGGAGTGCCTTGGCTCCTGAGAAGAGGAAATTTCTTTACGCGCGCATTTGCAATGTTGCTCCTTCCCCCATTTTTTTTTCCCCCTCTGCTCTTAGAGCCAAAGAGGAGCTCATGACCTTGTGAAAAGCTGCTTTTGGACTTGAACCAAGGAAGTTTGAACTTTTATCCTGTTACTTTTTTCTGGACAGAATACATTCATCTTCCTTCTAACTGTAATTAGGTGAGTACAAAGACTGGAGACGTGAGCTGCACGACTTCCCATTCCAAGACGGCAAAAGATGTCTAGCAAATTGCTGTTATAGCTACTGGTGACTATTAGTATTCATTACAGAAACAAGAAAACAAATAACATTTGCACATTTCTGCTTTAACCCTTCAGATGAGGTTGTATCTCTATTGTCATCTGCGCACATGTTGGTCGTTGTCACAGCACAGAGGAAATTTAAATGACTAGATGAAATGAGAGATCATCTCGGCTGCAGATGCTTGCTTGACTTTTTGTCCCAAGAAACAAAGTTAAATGCTCAGGGCATGATTTTACCAGCACAGAATGTCACCTCACGGAGCATTTTCTACATCAAATATAATAGTTGCTCTGTTCACTACAAAGATAACACTCACTGTATTTGTACGCAAATTCATTGCTTTCGTTTACTGTTCTGATCTTCTAACCTGCTCTTTACTCTAAAAAGTAGTGACCTTGTCTGTTTTATCCAGCTTTCTTAATATGCAAAAAACAAGTCATTCAGAGATGTTAAAACAAAGCAGTGTGCATCATCAGAAGATATGAACTTATATAACAGATATGTTCCAACACGTGTGTGTGTCATGGTGAGATAAAGAAATGTGGGTGTTTCTTCATGTAAAGCTTGTATGCCAGTTACATTGAATCTTATCAACCAACTGAAACAGTTCTTAGGAGATGACATTTCTAACACCTAGACCACATTCAAAATATCTTTACATTACTTCATTTAGGTGACATAGAGTGCTTAACAAATGTATTAGACCGCCTGTCATAAAAACATTTTTTAGAAATCTCTCAAAAATCTCCTTAAAACTAAGAAGTTATAGTGCTATTTATCAAGAATATAACAAACTGAATTCACATTTTTATACCCAAATTTGAGCCGGCACATTGGACTTCTCTGAAAAGTCTGAAATTAATTGAGCATTCAACCAAGCAAGCAATACTAAACCACATAATTTTATCTCTTCGGGAATGTGAATAAATAACTGCAGTTTGGCATTTTTACTAAAATAAAAAATAAAAATCAACAAAAAAAAGCATACTACTTTTCAGCTGTTTTGTAAAACAGTGAAATTTGAAAATTCACTAATAACAGCAATAATGGAATTTTAGCATTAAATATATGATTTAGATCTTAGAGCTTGTGCATACAGGTGGATTAACACATTACAGAAACACATTTGTCTTTACGTTTTAGTTTAGGTTAGCTTTCTTATGAACCTTCCATTTGGTGGTGATCCAGTAAATTTGCTGATCACTGCATACATGTATAAATGACAGGGATGTCTTCTGTTATTGATCAAAGTGAAAATATTCGCCTTTCTGAGGTGTTTGAAGTGTGTGAGAACCTTTGAAAGATCTGTAAATGTGTCATGTTTTAATGACGTGCTCTTTTCCGGTAACGCTTGAATTCAGGTCTCAGGGTTTGTTTTCAATCAAGCGCACACACAACAAATCCACTCTTAAGCACCGCCACATGTGATCAGTCTTAAATAAGCACTTATCTCCTAAGCTAATTACAATCTGCATGACTTCCAGAGGGGAGGAAAACTGTTAGTGAATATCTATTAAAGCTATAATAAAACCCATCAGAGATGACACCCACCTTTCTGCTTGCATACTCTGCAATAATACGGCTGAGCTTTTGTTTAAAGACCAGAAGCCCTTCTGAATAATGAGTATGTGGGATTAGTGGAAGGTTTGAAGTACTGACTTTCTGTGAAATTCACATGTGATTTATTGCCTTGCTATACCCACTATTGTTCACACCTTTCCACTGCAACCACCTGGTGAGAGGATCCCTACAAAGCCTCTCCAACGTCAGCAGTACCTGTGTTGCTGGTTTAACAAAGGGTTAAGTATGGGTGTTCCCATTTCCTGCAGCTCTCCCTCCCAGCCTGACTAATCTCTCTCACTCTCTCCTCTCCTTACTATCAAGAAGATTTGGTGAGACTCCTAAGAACAAAGCTACATAGAACCACTAGAAGTCTGAAAATTGAATGAATCTACACAAGGATTTATTCTGTTAATATTCAGAAAAGAAACCTAGCTTTCTGTGGGAATCGCAAGGGTGAGTTGGAGCACAAATGCGTGTCCTTTAAGTAAGTTCCTTGTACATGTTGAACAGAAGGGAAGGGCTAACTGTCAATAGTGAGCTGGTCTTGCATCAGACAAAAGCCATGTGGTAGCACTGCTGGATACTAAGATACAGTAATATATATGTATGATCATGTTTAACCTGATATGTTTTGATTTTTCTCATCATAAAGGTTGTCCATAGATGGGTTCATGTATCAGTTAAACATATTTAGTAATTACTAAAAGATGAACTCCCTGCAGAGGAGAAGCTTGGGTGTAAAATAAAAATTAGGACAAAAAACTCAGAAGTATTTTTTTCTTGTTATGAGCTTTTTCCCCACTCTGTGGAAAAGCTGCTCTGAGGGCCAGTGAAAACTAAAATGTGAAACAAGCAGCTGGTGCGCTGGGTTTCGCACACTCTTTTGCAACAAGGCTTGTTGCAACTTTAAAAAAAAAGTCTTTAAATTTTGAGTTAAAAATGTATTTTTGTGGTAAGTCATGAACTAATTTAGACAAATTTTTGTTAAGGGAAGATACCAGAAATTGAACAGCTGGTTTCCCCCACCATTTGAAAGCCTGTCCCTGACATTTAGTCGTTGGTTTGTTGGTTGTGTGTGTTGGCTATGGGCCATGGGAAAGTTAGTGGGTATGTGGCTAAAGAAAGTTGCTCAAACCAAAGCTGACTTGAGGCCAATGAGCAGGGAAAGAGCTACTCTGTATTTAGACTAAAAAGCGCCATTTACACAGCAGTCCTTTGTTTATCTCAGTTGCCCACTGCTATCAAGCTCAGAGGTGTATGGTTTATTACACGTTTACAGGCCTTTTCAGTGCAGAGCGTAGGACATGTGAAATTCCAGTTTTGTGTGAAACTCTTAAGGAATGGCAAAATGTAGCGCAAGACTGACCTTAGGGGTCAGATGTGAAAACCCTGAGAGCAGTTTGGCTGAAAGAGAGGAGAAGTATCTCATGACCCTGTGGCAGGAGCACAGACCTACGCTAATTCCCAGTGCAGTGTCTCTATGCCAGCTTTGTGTGGCTCATGGCAGATTAGAGCAACATAAGTCCTACAACAACATTTGTTATTTAAAGCCTTTAATTACACACAAGGATAAAATTGAATGGCGCCCTACGTGAAACCGCCAGTTTCCCGGGAATTTTATTTTGTGAATCAACTTAGCTGTCATTTATACTTTATCTATATATATTATGTAGGAAGGAGAACTTCAAATTAAGAGTTTACAAGGATTTTTGTTAAGTTTTTCTTGTCCTTTGCAAGAACAACAATCTAGTCGTTTCTCTTTAAAAGTACATTCCCAAGCAACTCCTTCATTCTCAGTTATTTTTGGGTTTTTTTGTTTTTTTTTAAGGAACCATATCTTCCCTCCAGAAAACGACCATACAATTAAACAACAAAGTCTGCTTTAGGAAGCCAGAATTAAATCTAACAACTTCAACATATATCATAGAAAAT